CATGGACTGGCAGAAATCATGAGGGGGGTTGAGCAGATAAAGAAACGAGGGGGTCAAACTCGTAGAGACCGGACTGCGCGTCAAACACAGTTGTCGAGGCCAGGCCGTGGCTGTTGAGTTGAAGGTGGTGTGGAGAGTGAGTGACGGAAAGCTCAAATGTTGCGACTTCTCCAATTTTGCCCTAGTGGGCTTGGCGATTGTGTTGTCCAAGCAACCAGTTTCTGCCGCCCACCTTTCAGCTTCACCACAGCCCCTCTGCAATTGCTTTCTCAGTTCTGCTTCACTTTCAACCAAGTGAGAAGAGTACCTAGTAGGTACTGCCATCACAGCTTTGTTACCGGGTTCCTCGAGACCAGTCTCGCCCATCTGCGCACTTTGCTCATGTCTTGTGCTCTCTCATTGTGCATCCAGTACGGGACTGCTCGTAAGGAGTACGGCCATCAGTGAATCAAGGTCTTGATCACAAGGCGTCCATGTCGCCACTAATCGGTTTCTCTCTGTGTCTCTCCACAAATTACACATTAGTTGTGTCTGAGGAGTTCGGATGTCAAGCCAGACTTGGACGCAACTGAGCGGCTACTCGCGGCCCAGTGCCTCTTTATCTCACAGGCGGGGATACCCGCTGACGTATTGCTCTCCTTCGCTTGTCCCTCGTCTAACCTATCTATCTGCCCACCTGAACCACTTTGAGATGGGGATATATGGGGCCACATTGAGATGAGTATATTGTTCCTCGTCAGTTCTTTGTGTTTTGGCAGCCCCTACTGCGCTGTCTCCATTTCCCTTACCTACCAAGATGGACCGCTGTTTGCATACCAGGCTGGTATCCCAAGTACATCCGAGGCAACATATTCGTGCGCCATTCTTTCTCGCGTTTTCCCTGTCCCCATGGCACGATAAGTGTCCTCCATCGCGACATGCCCATTCCAAGTCCAAGACACTCGGGCCAAAAAACCAACATCGCCATGCGCATACCCGGCGGAGAATGACATCCGCAGCTATCGATGTTGAAACGCCCGATGCTCATGCCTCAAAGATGCCCTCGTCCAGGCCATTAGCATGCCTTCCTATTTCCTCTCTCCTCCGATCGTACATCATCACTTCGATATCCTCAGTACCGCTCCTTTTGCGACCATCATTAGCCGCGATGACCTTTCTTGCTCATACCACGTCCCCCGTTCTCAATCCGGACCGTAACCCTCTCCTCCACTTCCTCCTTAAACGAACATTCTATGCTCAGTTTTGTGCGGGAGAGACGCCGCAAGAGGTTCGCAGAACCATCGCGGATCTAAAGGATATCGGCTTCAAAGGTGTTATTCTGGGTCATGCCAAAGAAGTGGTCCTTAGCAAGGAAGAGGCGGAAAGTCTTGATGCGCAACCGGCTGCCCTGGACCAAGCTCAGGTGGATGCTGAAGATATCGCTACTTGGAGAGAGAACACCATCAACACAGTGGAGCTCACACAGAGGGGTGACTTCGTGGCCCTCAAGTTCAGTGGGGCAGGGCGTCAAGCACTGCGCCGCCTCAAAGCCACCGTCGCTTGCTCCCGCGAATTCGAAGGTGCTGTCCATGATATCTGCCAGCGTGCTGCGCAAAAAGGCGTTGGACTGCTCTTCGACGCTGAACAGGCGTCCTTGCAAGAAGGTATCGACAACTGGACTCTGTACTTCGCGAAACGATATAACAAAGAGAAGGCGGTGGTGTATGGCACATATCAGGCATACGCAAAACGAACCCCGTCAAACCTTGCAAGTCACCTTGAGTTGGCCCGAAGGGAAGGGTTTGTCCTGGGAGTCAAGCTCGTCCGAGGAGCGTACATGGGCAGCGATCCGAGAGAGCTATTCTGGGGAACCATCGATGAGACCCACAAGTGCTACAACAACATTGCCAAGGCCGTCATGCAGAAGCGATACCAAGGCATTCTCCAGCCTGTCGACGGTGCCTCTGGCGAGTTTCCTCAAGTGAGTCTCGTCCTTGCAACCCACAATGCCGAATCGGTCAGATTTGCCAAAGAGCTGCGGGACGAGCAGGCGCGCAACGGTGAAGAGCGAATCGAGTTGGCTTATGGTCAGTTGATGGGGATGGCAGATAACGTTAGCTGTGAGGTGGTTCAGACAGCAAGGACCCGTCTGGAGTCACACAGCAGCGACACTAACGTGGAGGTCCCCAAAGCATATAAGTATCTGGTTTGGGGTAAGATGGGGGAATGCATGAAATATCTGCTTCGACGAGCACAGGAGAATAAAGATGCTGTTAGCAGGACAGTTGAGGCAAGGCGCGCGTTGGGTCGTGAGTTGGGCACCAGGGCAGCTTTCTGGCGTTCGGTTTGACCGAAACGAAATGCTACGATTGGATGCGGGAATGAATGAACTACCAGAGGACATCAAATGCCTTGTAGGTGCATGCTGTGGGAGCTTTACTATTTTGCCCCATCTGCAGGTTGCTCTTATCGATGCTGCGTGGTTTGCATGATCTTTGGTGTCCTAGAATGGAGCAGGAGGTGTTTGATGGAGCATAAAAGTGTGAGAAATTCCCACCGGGACCGGGAGAGCAAACACTGTATCTTTCTCAGAGCTAGGAACCCAGTCCATCGATCTTGCCGTCTGAGGAAGTTGTCATTTGCACCTTCGGGTAGCTGCTGCTGGTTGCGAGATTTGTCCCAAACAACCCGTGCTGCTGTCTTGGTCTTGTTGTGGGAACGTTCTTTTACTCTCTTTGTTCCAGGTCACAGCTCTCCCTGGGCGAAAGTCAAGGCTCAGCAAAGGCTGACTGCCTGGGACACCGCTCATTTCATTCTCTCTATTCGGGCTTTTCTGCCGGACCCTCCTGTCGGCAATCGCTCTTCGGCGCCATGGTCCCCAGATACTTCTCATCATCTTCATCGATGACCTCCTCACCGACCCAATGCACCCTCACCAATTCACCCACTGACCCATTTACTCCACCTTCGTTCTACAGTGATGCCAGCAGTGAGGATCTAGAGGTACGTGACCTTTTTCAACCGCATCCCAATCCCAACCCTCATGAGGTGAAGTCTATACTGATCGGGCATCAATACAGGACATGATGGCCATCGGAAACGACCCTTCCCATGTCAGCGATGTGATGGCAGATGCCCTTAGCCACTTGAATCGCGTGGTGGAACATGTGAGAGAGCTTCCCCCCGAGCTGCAGGTTCGCTGGACTAATCATCGAGCAGCTTAGAGACGAGGGTGAAAATGAAGCAGCGAATGGCATTGCACGCGATGTCCACTCGATGCTGGACACGTTCAATCACACCACGGCTCCCTGGTCCATCGAGAAGTTCCACATGAAGTCTTCGCCAGCGCCAAACCCTCATTTCATTGCTCAAAACGGCGCTACCTCTCGTCCTCTCGCGAGACCTAACGCCTCCTCTTGGGCAGCAGTCGCCGCTACCGACATCGCGGGTAACAACCGTTTGGTCAAATTCAGACCATCTGACGGATTGAAGCGCCATATCACAGAGGAAGAGCCGAACAAGCTGCAGCCACGAGATGAGGATTTCCGGTGCGTCTGGATTTACGGCTGGACCAAAGACAAGCCCTTGAGCATGGTCACGGAGCGAATCAGCACTGGTGCCATTTTCTCCATGGCCTACGTGGAACAATATGGTGCGGTCTGTGTCATCTTTCAGTACGCTGGCGGAGCCATGCTCTTCACCGAGGAAGACGGTCAATTGATTCGCGAGTATGGCGTTGGCTTGTTTGGCAAAGGCCATGAAGTCAAGTATGGTGAGGCATATCCAGACAATGAAGACCTACTCCGGATGCAACCTCCTCTCAATGAGCGACGCCGCTTGACCTTTGCTCGTCAGCAACTCTTCACCAATGGCATGAGTGAGGAACGATTTAGGAGAGACTTAATCGATATTGTCGGTCGCCACAATCTTGAGCTGGTCTGGTTGTTCAATACCGGCAATGGTAAGTCAGCTCTGGTATACCTGCTTCGTGACTGACATGAATATCCAGCTACTGCTGTCTTCTCTTCTACTGTTGTCGCCCGCATCGTCCGGGATGAATTTCTCCGTCGGTCCAGGAGGGCAGGTCCCTACCAGGAAGTCCAGGTTGGCTTCTCTCATGATCCTTGCGAGCGTCCCATGAATTTGATCACGCAAATTCCCTACCCGGGGTGCGCGCCCAGAGACCGCAGTGATAGCAACAAATCAGCATCAAGTGGACGCGCCTACAACCCGAGTGCCGCCAAGTTCATACCGGGTACTGCCGTTCGTGCCAGGAAGGGTACCGACCCTGATGGTTGGCAGACTGTTCAGCGAAAGCGATGAACTTCGGAGGAACTTTGTCGGCGGATATCGACATACATACCAATCAAGGAATTTCCGTACACACCGTGACTGGGAGCACTCATTGCAGGCGTAGGGAAGGCTGAAAGGACTGCACTCAGCTCGCACTCCATATAACACAAGTTGTCCAGGTAGCGAAGCGTGCCGCTGACAGCGGAGGGAACACATTCGATGACAGGCAGATGTGTCCACAGCGTGACTTGATAGCATCATTTCCATTGCATCGATAGAGATGCAATCACCAACCTTGGCCGCCGAGCAAGGTTTGGAAGGGGGGCATCAAAGCTGGCCTGTCCGTGTTCTTCCATGCCCCATGCGGAAGGTGCCGTGTTCGACGAGGTGGGGTTCGAGCTGTCTCCTCTTCCTCGTCTTCCTTATCCATTTCTTGGACGTCTCTCCGTTGATTGTGTGCTCAACCCATCAATTGACCCTGTTATATCTCCAATGATTCGAGTATAGGACTCCGTCCTAGCTGTAGGTGCCATTTCGCTGCTACGTTCGCACTTTTCATCGCGATTAGCAGCAAAACGCTAGTGCGTTGGCTACCTGCATGCATCGCCAGCTCTATCTACAGTAGTACGAACGCGCGCGATGGGAACACAACCTACTGCAACCAGGCGCGAAACCGATAGCTCTCGTCCGAGATCGTCTCTTGCAACAAGCAAAAAGATCGATCATGCTGGCGACGGTCGGAGTCGAACCAACGTCTTCCTCTGCCTCAAATTATCAGTCAGATGGCATCGCCGAGGCGAGACCGATTGGGGGGAGGAGATGCTAAACCACTGCACTACGCCGCCCCATTACATCATTCCACGTTTATGCTTCGATTTGTGAATATTTCAAACAGTGAGAATTATAAGAAAGGGTGGCTGCAGGCCACCAGCGATGTAGACGACAGACGGCGGCTTGGGCGAGAACGCCAACTCTTACCCGACGCGAGTCAACGAGAAGCAGAAAGGGATCCATCGACGCCACCTAATTCAATCTCAGCACTCCCTCTGCGCTGCAAGTTGGATGTTCTACCTTGTTGGGAATGCACCCGGTCGACAATTGCGGACCAACTCTGGACCGAAGATTTTTTCCCAACAAACTGTTACGGAAACACAAAAGGCAGAAAAATAATCAACGAGCAGTAAGACCAGGCGTACCTGATATTGCAAGGTGAGACCAACAATGCTAAGCCCACAACCAATTCGCATACAGATTCTTCTCAGCACCAAAAAAACAAAATTTGGATCTACCTGGAATTGAACCAGGCTCGTCAGGTTCCAATACCCACCGATTGTGGTATGTATTAGCCCGAAATGCTAACCGATACACCATAGATCCTTGAATCAAGTACTGATTTGGACTACAAATTCCAGCGGTGCAGATGATAAATTTGCAAGGTGGATCTCTTAACTAGTGAGTCACCGGTATTAAGGAGTAAAAATCTGGCGCCCCACTACAGAGGTAACCAGACAAGGCTGCGGTGTCAGGAACAAAGTATCACGATGTGTTTACAGGACTCACACAAGGCTGCAAAGAAAAAAAAAGAAAAAAGGATCACATATTCATTACCGAAGGCAGCAGCTCCAGATCCAGGCACGAAGAAAAGCTAATGCTACTACTACCTAGGTAATCTAATTATCATGGTGACTGAAGAGTGATTTTATAGGAGACGAGAACAACGAAGAACGGGACTTATATACCAAGGCGCAGATGGGCTCAGGAGAAAGTAAAGAAAAAATGTATCGATCAGAAGCAAAAAGAAAGTGACGACGGCTCTTGGATTCGAACCAAGGTCTCCCTCTGCATGTTAAACCATGGACATATTGAATAGCTCTGTTCCGCGCGACAAGAGAAGACTACCGCTTCTAGGATACAAGCTTTCCTGTTTGCTCCAGCTTCATTCCACAGCTGGCAGATAGATGAAGGCTTCGCAAAGGCTAAATATATGTCCAGTCTATGGTGAGGACGTGCTGAACCGCTACACCACACCGTCTTGAGGCTGATTGTTGGCCAGCAATCGGGGCGTGCATTTGATGAGGTGTGAGGTGCTAGCACGGGTATGTGAATCTCAACCTGGCCGACCTCGCGTGCTTCTCTCGTACGCCTCAATGGCCATCAAGTATCCGTCCATCGAGTGCGCCGCAACACTTCCGAACGCCACGTTCTGCCAAACCTCCTGTGAGGGCTGAAACGCGCGGACATCGTCTTCCCGGTCATTCTCAGCAACATCCTTCAGAACGACTATCTGCCCGTGATTGAAAAGTGTTGGGGCGCCGAATTCCCACGGCTCGTCCGATGGATCTTCCGCTCGCTCTGCGTAGAGCCGCAGCAAGGAGCGAATGTATTCGGTCTCGGCACGCGGGACAATGTCGCCAAAGTGCACGATAGCCAGTGTCACGGCGCCGTCGGGAGAGGTGGCAGCCACGTCGGAGACGGCTTCCAATGGTGCGAACACGGGAGGCGCTGCAAATGTGATGCAGTGGATTTGACGGACTTGGCGCTGGATATCGGGACGACATTGCCGGATGTGGGCGCACAGCAGGGCCGCGACGCCTCCTCCTGCGGAATGGCCCGTGAGGACGAGGTCTGGGAGTGGCAGTGGCGGCTCTAGAGGGTAAGCGTCTAGTTGCGCGGTGACCTTCGAGCAGATAGCCGGGCACATTTGCTTGGCGACTCGAAGGAGACCAGCATGTGCCGCTGTTGTGGGTGAATCGCGACACTACGGAGGCTTTAGCTTTGGCCTGCAATGGCATGGGGGAGCACCCCCCGATGCACCTACTAAGAAGTTGTCCACTGGTTCTGGGTCCCCGTCGAGGTTCACCAACCAGTCGACTAGCGATGCAGTACCGCGGACTGCCACGACCAGACAGCGGCGGCTGTGAGATTGGTGAACCATCATTGAGGATGCCTTCACCATGCCGTCCTTCGTGGCTCGGGAAAGCTCCACCACCTCGTCCAGTGGTACGATGGTGCTGGGTGGGACTTGGACCCCACCCTCAACCGGGACTACAGCGCTCGGAGGCGTATCGTATGCCAGTTTCGAGCATTGGGCCGCCAGCCTGACGAGATTGAATTGTTCTTCGGTGCTGGGCAATGAGCAAAGAGCGTCAGCCCCGGTGAACCAAGGGGGAAGCATCTCACATACAAGGTATACTCGGCGGTATCCTGGGGCAAATCGCCGTTCGAGCAAGCTTGAGTGACGGCGTCCAAGCGGTCGATCAAGTCCGACCAGATGCCTGGGAGAATGTTAGCCGGAGACTTCTCCGCCCCCATTGACAGCAAAGCTGCTTGGCTCCTACAGTACCATCACCTTTGCCAGAATCGTATGCCTCCTCGATGGTTTGCAGTATCTCAACCATGGCCCTCGATGCTCCCGCAGATGTGCGGGCGCTGTCGGCGGGCACAGCCCCAGTAGTGATTGCTGCGCTGCGGGCCCCGGCCCTGACACCTCTGCGTGACGTCCTGTTACGCCAGAATAGACGCTCCGTCTGCTGCAACGTGCGCCATGTCGACCACCGCACTCCCCGCGCCAGGAGATCTTTGCACGACTGAAAGAAGCGTCCTATGCCTACGCCCACTCGTTGGACGGTTCGGTAGGCAAAGGTCGGTAGACGGCGGAAAATCCCTGGAGTGACGGCTGTATCCGCCTCATCGGTATCACTATCAGACATTTCTGCAAATTCTCAGCAGGTCTGAGCATGCGCAAGGAAACGTGAGGAAGAGGCTCAAACGTTGCAGCCTGATGAGATGTCTGGAGGCTTGGCGAGTTCATAGCCGCCTCTTTGTCTCGTGTTCGAGCAAGCCACGCGGGGTCATGTCTTGGGGACCTACTCTTTCGAGCACCTCACATCTTCTGCTCTTGCCAGAGGCTCGTAGAATGGCCGACACGGGACCCGGACCTTGGACCAAAGTTGGCGACAGCGCTGCCGACCTGGTGCGCGCGTTGACGGATCTTTATTGGGAGGCCCTGGAACCGGAGATCGCGAACGCGGTCCTGTCGCTCAACAATGTCCTCAGACTGCGCAAAGAGCAGCCTGATGCAGGCATTGGGCCGCAGAGCATCGAACAGCGCATGTCGGCGCGCCTCGAGGAACCGGTCTACACATGGGACCCGCTTGGCTTGAGCTGGGAGGATCGGGCTGGATGCCATGAGGTGGCTCAAGATCTGCTGTTGGGGAAGCAAACCGTCGAGGACGACTACCTACTGTCGCGAATGTTTCTCGGTGGTGTGGGGATGCTGGACATTGACGAAGTCATTGTATACCGTGAACCAACACTGCCGTCGGAAGAGGGGCCCCCGGAATTTGAAGCCGTGATGGACGACGATGGAATGGTTTCCTTGTTCTCGATTACGTGCGACGTCTGCGACAACCCTGTTCGAGGCATGTCGTGGACATGCAGGTTAGGATGTCGGCCGGTTGGGCAAGACTCTGAGGCTCCTGCTGATCCCATGCGAATCTGCATGTCGTGTTATAGTGCGGATCGACATACCAAAGCTCACCTCCTACCTGTGCCTCACCGATATGCTCTATCAGACATAGCGGCCCACGTAACCACGGAGCAATTTTGGCAGCTTCGAAAAGAGTTGCAACAAAGGCAGGACGAGGTCGACTTTGAGCAGGATCGGAGAACTGTCGGCGTCATTTGGAACGCAGTCGCCCGGACGCTCTCGTCGTGGTCCCGTAAGGATGAAGGCTTTCCGCTTGGAAATATCCACGCGGCTGTGACTTTTGGCCCGCTTGTGTTTGAAACTGGTGTTGAAGGGTAGGTCCATTCCATTACATCCTTCGCAACGCACATCTGACAGGGAACAGCTCGAAAGGTGGTGTTCGAATAAGTCCCCGGCAGACGCTCGACCTTGGGCGACGATGGCCGAACCTGTCGCCAGTCACCATCCTCGCACTTGATCGCAAGCGGCAACTGTACAAGAGTACAAGACGACTTGAGCACCCTCCCATCCAGGCTGCTATCAAACAAGTTGTTGGAGGTGCGTTTGCAGGCTATCACGCACATCTGAAGCCTGTGGAAGATCGTGCCATCCTGATGCTCTTCGACGCGGCGTCAACTTGGAGCGAACAGCCTCTGAAGCCGCGGAAAGCGAATGGACAGCGTCTTCATCTGCATGCAAAGAATATCATTAACATCATGAAGCCTCAGCTGGATGTCGAGATCCAGTCTTACATACGCACCCTCGCTGCCACAATGATGGGGCCCGGGATGAACCTTGGCTGGAACAAATACACCAACAATTGTCAAAACTTTTGTGACAGCCTGCTGCAAGGCGAGGTCTTTGCTCACGTCTTCCCAGGGAGGGAGAGCCTGCGCGGCCTCCCAACGCAGGCCGCGAATCAGGATGCTGTCAACTACGTAATCAGCTTCCGAACGGCTCCCGAGCTTGGAAAAGTCGTAGAGTCCACGAAGCTCAGCATCGGCCCCATGACTGCCTTCCTGAAGCAAGTCCATCGACCTACGAACGTCCTGCAGTATCAGGAGAGCCAGGGACGACGTACCTTGAATGAGACGCAGCTATGTGCCCAGATTTTCGCGTGGCCATGCCAATCCGAGGAATGCGACCTCGCGGATCATCCCTGGACGAATCCCGCCGAGCTCGTCAGTATGCTGCAATTCCACTTGCTCTCAGATCGCGGGCAGTACTCGTACGTGGCTGACGGCGAAGGCCCGCACGGCAGCCTCTGCCCGTTGTCAGAGGTCAAATGGGTCCGACAGAGGCTGGCCGTCCTCCAGGCGCTCGACTCATTCGTAGCAGCGGCAGCAGCAATCAACCAGGCCTTTCAAGAAAAGCTGGCGAGCGAGCCAACGCGAGGGTGGAACCCACCCACCGCTCCGTCCATACCGCAGAGCATACCATTCCAATGTGCCGACGACGCCGTGCATTATCAGCAGGAAGACCTCGGCTCGAAGCGGACGAGGAAATCGCTGTTCGGCTCAGGTCCCGCGATGTATGAGACCGGTCCGCAAATCGAGCTTCCGGCCGAATACACGCTCCTGGGAGAACGGCCTGTGGTCTTCATGCCAACGGTTGGGGCTGCGCTGGCACCGATGCGAGACGGAGAGGAGGCTGATATTTTGACTGACAGGGAAAGCCGTGGGTCTTGAAGCTAGCCGTGAGATTCTATCAAACACGAAGACGCGGAGGAGGATCGATCGAGCAATTTGAATATGGGGATCATTCAGATCCTGCTTGCAATAAGTACTAAGCGCAGGTCTGAATTGGTGGCTGGTTTGTGAATGAGTTAATGTGTCCTGGATTTTGGGTTTCACTCTACGGGTCCGTAGTCCTCTAGCTGTATACGTATTGTAGTAAGGAGTGTGTGTCC